CAGCATCAGTATCTATATTGAATGTACTGATGAAATCCTCCTGAGGCCAATGTCTTGCTTTTCATTTGTGGTTACAAGGTAAGCATATTCCACTGAAACAGTTCAGTCTTAGTTGGACTTGATGGCTGAATGAAAAGTTGCTCAGACCTTGACTGTCTATAACTGATGGAGCTATTTTTTGCCTGAATATAAATACAACTGAGATTGGCAGGGGAGGAGGAAGGGAAAGAAAGCCCAACTGATGGAGAAATTGTTTGTTTAGTAACGGAGAAGTCACATCAGTCCTCACACTGAGCTACATCTTCACTGCTGAATGTGCAGCACAGCACAAACCACAGATAGCAGACTTGACTCTGGTGTTGGTAACAGCCTGGTCTTGGCAGCAAGGAGATCCTAGCAGGGTAATTAGCCCTCACAGCTCCAGGGGCAAACAGCGAGTCCTGAACAGCTGCAATTTAAAGTCACTGTTTTCTTGATTATTCCCTTGCCCTTCCTTAACAGATGGGGTTTATGCAAGGTATGACTCACCTGAACTGACAGAATAAATCTAAATATTCTTCTGTCAAACTGCATCCCAACCATCACTCCCCCTGCTCTGCTGCACACCAGAAAGCCTCCTGGGCTAGCAGAGGTGATTAGGAAAGACTTTCCTTTCTGACTCTTGTGTTACAGCTCTCACAGCAACTAGCATTATAGCTGAGCACAGGCAAACTCTGCTGCTTTTTGGATCGTGGCTTAAGTTTTCCAGTTTCCTGGCTTTGTGGACCACTTTATTTTACAGATGGAATACCTTAAAGTCTGTTAATTGCCTTAAAAATACTTTTTACTAAAGCCAGCTGAAAGCAAAAGCAAAAAAAAAAAAAAAAAGTATATATCAAAGCAGACAACCCAGAACAAAAATTCTACACAAGAAGTTTGTGGTCATCTTCAATAAAAAAGATACAGGACACAGATTGCTTCTTTTTATTCCATCACTGTTGCTCCTATAAGATACCTGACTGCCTTCCTAGCTCCAAACAGCCCTTAGGTTACTGCTTCTGTAACACATTTTTCCAATTTATATTCCATCTTTAGCACTGAATTGTGGCTTCAAACCCCACCTGAGTCTCTCTCTGTACTCTCCTCCTTTCCTGTGGTTTTCTAACTCGGTCTGAGGGGAATGTCCATGCACCAGCCTCAACTGCCCTGTGACATGTCTGAGCACCTTCATCGCCCAGGCAGCACAGAGCCATAACTACGAGTTATCAACTTGACCATTACTTAATAATCCACTTGGAAGCAGAACAGTGCTCTCACCTACCTGTTTTTATCTTAGAGCAATGTTTTTTCCACATACTGCTGAGACTGAAGTCCTTTTTAATTGACAATTTAATTTATATAAAATCATAGAATCATTAAGGCTGGAAAAGACCACGGGGATCATCAAGTCCCACCATCAACCCCTCACCCGTGCCCACTAAGTGAGCAAGTTGCTCACTGCCCCCGACATGGCAGCATTCACCCACTCTGGGGTGACAATGGAGTTAGGATCAATTAGTTCCACACGCAATATGGAGAAGCACAGGGACAGCTTTCTAAAATGAACCCTCGATTCTCTGAAAAAAGAAAAAAAGCAGAATAACTAAGCAGCATTTCCTAACTTCATGCTACCAACAGAACCGCTGGCCCCATGTGCCATTGCTGATCACTGGCCCAGAGTGGGACTGCCCCAGCCTAGAGCCCTGCCTTGCTGGCCCAAAGCTGGAGGCCTGCCCGGCGCTCCCAGCAGCACTGCACGAGGTCAGCCATGTTCTGGGGCCTGAAGGCCTGCGTCCCATGGCTGCAGTGCCTCAGGCGCCCTGGGAGTGCTGGCAGCTGCCAAGTGACAGTGACACTCCTGTCAGGTTTATGGCTGCTATTTGCAGCAGTGGGAGCGACAGGCTTTTATAAATCATTCAGCCAGGGGAGGGAGAGGGCAGGAGGGTGTCCTGGGGAGCTGCGTTTGAGCCCCAGACCTCATTTTGGGATGTATTTTTCTTTTCTTAGGGGGAAGTTTTGTTTTTGAATTCCCACTCAGAGTTACTTTTACAAGTTTGATTGGACTACAACCAAATAAAAAAAGACTTCTCACAAATGGAAAACCCTGTACTTCAGCCAGCTCTGCTCTGCAGTTTAATTGCTTTAAAGAGAGGCCATGTGTTGTGCTCTCTCAGGGGTAAAGGAGAAGGTGAAAGGAAAGACAGTGAAGGAAAAAATAATATAAAAACAAAACCAAAACCCCATCAACCCTCAGAATAGAAGGAAGCAGGATCCCCAGCAGCCTGGAACTTGACCCCATAAAGACAAATCCCCAGGACAGTCTTTCCTTCCTCTCTTCTATGAGCACATCCTTCCAGCTGATGCTCCCCTGCTCTCTTCTAAGCACGCAGTCATAACCCTTCGTTGTAAATACATGCAACTCAAAAGGTTTTGCAGGTTTAATGGGATGGTCAACTTCTCAACAGTAAAACGTTTTACAGGGGTTGAGCCATCACTTTCAACCTCCCAAACAACTAAATCTTTCTGCTCACAGGCTGTATTTTTCAAGATGCTACTTGATGACTTTTGATGAAATTCTTAAGGTTATGGCTTAAAAGCCATATTCCGTGTTTCGTTCTGATGTGCCCCTTTTGTAGGCTGCCAAGTTTATTATTCCAGAAGCTGGAACTGTTTAAAATAGATCCAGAACATTCTGAAGTGAGCTGTCCTATCATATATGAACCGCTGTTGTGTGTCAGTGCTGACTACCAATAGCCAGTTATGCATTTTTAGACTGAGTGCATTTGAAAACCACAGCCTCCCCCTATCTCCAGCACTGACAAAGCACTGGGGCTGGGTCTCTTCATCATCTACCAGCCACTTGCACACCTGTACAGGTATGAAATAAAGATACTCCAGTAGAGAAGGAGTAAGACAGGTGTCTGTGTCTTGTTTTCTCACAGAAGAGAAAGGCAGAACAAGTTTCTGCAGTTGTGCAGCAGACATGGGCATCAGCCCCACTGACTTGCCACTACTCTGCCCTCTGCCTCCAGTGGAGCATGTTTTCATGGCCCTGTCATGGCATCTCATCTCTGTGGTCTGTGTGCACTGAACTGTAGGAGCATGAAAGACAGCAAATCCCTCCTTCACGCCTCCAGAAATAAGCTCCGAGAGGTTCTATTCCCATTCTGACTCCAATTTGACAATTCCCATTTCAAAAAGTACCTTTATGAACAAACAAACAAACCCCAAGCAAACCCAAAACTAGTGAAACCTATTACAGCATAGCATTAACTTCACTGCACTGGAAAAGACTGTGGGTCTTGGGTATACAATTTCTGTCACACGACTGGACCTTTGGAAGTGATGAACTTCTACAGCACTACTGCATAAGCAGTGAAGCTTTAAGTCAATTTATTTTGCTTATCTTGAAAGTGAAATACATCCCACCATTTAAATGATGGAGAGTAAGAAAAAATAGATCGCTCAGCATCAATTATCTGTTTTGTTGCATTTCTACTCTAGTCCAAGAAGCCCAAACAGAACATTTCTTAGTCTTGATTATCATCTTCTTTTACCTCTTAACCTCTCTCCATTCTGTTATATAAATTATTACAGATTTTTATCAAAGCTTTTAGACTTCATGGCAAAAATAACCCACACCAAACCTCAAAATAATTTGGGAGAGACTGGCAGTACAGGACAGAGTGATGTTGATCCCACCATCACACATCCCTGGCTGCCTGCTTTGAGAACAGTTTGCAGGGACTCATTTTGGGAGGTCTTATAATGCAAGAATGAGAAATGTTGGAACTCAGACCTCTCTTCCCCATGAGTTTCACATTTACTGCATAGACCTCTTAAATAAAAACTCCTACAAAGACACTTTAATGATTATGTAACGAAAGCACAAACCTTAACCAAAGCCACTTACTTAATTTAAAACTTTTGCATTTTTCTCATCTGCTCTGTAAAGTAGGTATTTGTAATTTTCATTTATTTATATGAAAATCTCATGAAAGACATGTACCAGATTGTGTCTGACAGACTGCCACGTATTATTTCCAAATTCCAGTTAAATGAAAAAAGCAGAGAGATGATTCATGCTGAAACTCCTATTTGAATTTACTCAGCACTGAGGAGCTAGATAAAAAAGAGACTAGATACAAAACGGTGCATGGCTGGACAGCGTGAAAATTGTATAGGCTGATTTAGCCTTCAGAGTAACTCAGATCTATCTCCATGTGAAACAGTAATTCATTCGGTCTCCACGTAGTCAGAGACTTAGATAAGTGGGATGGCAAGCTGAACCTTTTCCAATTTCAGCTTTCATGCTGTAGAAGATACAGCCTACGATTTGCAAAAATAAAATGACTTTATTCCTTACACTTGCTTTTTTCCTTGGTCTGGAAAAAGATTATTACATTGCAACTATTTAAAATCTGTGTCTGCTGACACTCAAAGCACATTATTATTTAACGATAAACCAACACGATATTTTGGGGAACAGTTGCAGATAACAAAGCAGGTCTTGTTCCTAATCTCTCTGTGGCGTGGGATTCAGAACAACCCAATAAAGACCCCTCTGTAACTGATACATTTACTGAAAGAAATGAACGTGACATTTAAAAGTAAGCTATTTAAAAATATAGCATCTCCTAAATGGAGAGAGGAATCAAAACATCAACAGCAGAGGCAAAAATGGGTTTAGAGTAAATAACTTGCTGAGTTTACACTTGAACTGTTGTATTTTAAAATAGATGAAGACAATTTCTTTTCTCGAACAGCATAGCCAAGGTCAGATTAAGCTTGAAGACACAGAATTACAACAGGAAACAATAGATAGAAGGCAAAATCATCAATGTGATTCCGAAGACTGTAGTTTCTACTTTCTCCTCCATGTACTGACCAATTCATTAGGCTATTAAGGGACTAATGGCATAGTTTCTTTACCTCTTATTAGTTAGCAGGGACAATAATATATTAGTTTAACAGCAGCTCACCAGTGGAGTGTCCTTCCCTCCAACAATGCTGAGTCCAAGTCCTGATCGACCCTTAGATATCTCTATAGTCATCTCCTGTCCAGGAACAATAGGACATGTTGCTGGATCCACAGGCAATGGAGGTGGTAAAATATCTAAGAACACAAAAGGGTAAAAGAATAAGTCACACTATCAGACAAGAAAATAAAACAATTTAAGTAGTCATATGAGAGCAACTAATTAAACTCTCTTGTTTTGCTCTTCATCCAATCTAAATCAACCTTGAAGATTACGGTGAGTCACTTCTGAAGTCTCTAAATTAGAACAACTCCAGAGCTCTAGGAGTAAATGTTCAGAGAATATGTCTGGGAGGACATTTAATTCAGATATGATCTATGTAATTAGGGTAACAATAGCAAGGTGTATTCCAGTCAGGGTATATAAGGCTATTTCCCAACACTATAGAAATGCCAGGATGTCCCAGATTATCTATCTTTATTTTCATTAAAAAAATGAGCAACACCTTTAAAATCTCGGATTAGGTATTAAATACATACAGTATCACTGAAAAAAAAAAACAAAAAATATTTCATACTGCGGTTTGTGATTTCTGTGTCTGGAGAGAGATAAGTAGGTGCTGCCACCAGGGATATCTCCTGCAAGTTGGCTGGTACTTTTGCTGAAGATTTGGATTGTTTCATCTGTTTAAGGACCTAAAAGTGAAGCACAGTGGAAGCACAAGAAATCAGTTATCAAACACAGAAATGCACGTTAAGGACCAGTTGTCTCCGTGATTAGCATGTCCTACTAAATCTACCAAGTCAACAGACAGGAAACATGCAATAAGCATAGGTGATGAACTGAAAACATTCAATTTAAAAATAAATGACAAATCAGAAAGACTGGATAACTGCACTTCCAGCAATGCTTGTGTAGGAAGCTTGTGTGAAGAGAACTTCACCCTTCTCAGTGGTGTCTCATGCCAAAAAATTGCTTTGTTTGTTTGAACAAAGAACATTCCTGACATTAGCCTGTCTGACTATTCCAATGTACTGAAGGAGAAAGAAATCGTTTTTAAAGTCCCACCTCTCAAAAATTTTTTTGTATTTCTCCAGTTACCCTACATCCCCCCAAAATCACACAATCTATGGCTAAATCCAGCTCTCTAAGATAAATACACCTACATCTTCTGGGAGCTGCTCCTCTACTTCCAACTGATCCACCAACACCGGTTTGTCAGCTTTATACTTCACATCCTAAAAAGTCAAAAAGGAAAGTGAGGTATAATTGAAAATGTAATATAATCTTAAATACAATATCCTCCAAAGCCAGAAACCAGGCTATTCTGGTTAAATACAGTGACGTTTCATCATCACTGGAAGTACACTTCTAGTGCACACAGCTGAAGTCCAAAAATTAGAAAAGTTACTTAGAAAAGAATAAAGAATTACTAGAAATTACTATGAATACAAAGATTAACAAGAATTACTAACAATGCATTACATTTTAGGAGTGGATTTTCTGGGAAGGGATTATCCTGCATTATTTATTTTGTTCCCGAAAAACATGAAACTAGAAAGGAGATGGAAGCACATTCTGCGGAGTGATGGGATCAGCCATTCCCATGTGACATGGAAACATACAGGTATAGACCATACAGTGCCTATAGCTGAAAGGAGTTCAAAGTCATCAGTTGTCTCTTTTTTTTAATTGCTTCTCAGTAGAACTGAACATACTGCTTGTACTTAAATAAAGCAACTGCTTACAATGCATAAAGCAGCCTCATTAGGAATGTCTCGAACAATGGCACAATCACAGGCACCACTTGTATCCCAATTTCTTTCCACACTCTTTTAATACACTAAGGTACATTTTTTCTTCTCCAAGTGTCTCCAGATAGTTACAGTGCCCTCCCTTTGTTATTTCTGTGCCAAGCCTGGGCCACTTTGATCACACCATTAGATTTGGTTATCTTACCTCAAGTTAAAAGCACTGATAAACAAGCTTTTTGAAAAGCTGAAAAACAACTTCAAAAGACAGAGATATTCTGCAGCTCAAAAGAATTTCTAATTAAGATGACAATTCATACATAAAATAAATCAAATTTTAGGTTACCAAGCTTGGAAATACTGGCCTTGTTTCCTGTTGCCATATTACATTTAACCACATGCCAAGCCCCATAGGCTTATCTCCTGATTTTTTTTCTTGCTGTGCTCATACAACAGAAACTGTTACCCAAAGGGATAATAAAAAAAGTGAGAAAGAGTGATCTCAATCTCATGTTATCTGGAGTATTGGGAGAGAAGTGGGAAGGTTGCTTTGTCACTTTATGAGAGATTGTTTTAATGAGCAATACCAAATAATTCCATACTTCCCTATTCCATTCTGATACACAACTAAAATGTGAAACTTCACCTTTAAAACCCTCTAATCCTCTCCACTGAAGCTCACACTATGCTGGAGGCATCTGGACAAAATGAAGAAATTTACAGCCACTCCAACACTGCATTGCACACTCAGCAACTGCCATAAGCCTGTGACCCAGCTGGCTTAATGGAATTCATTTCCCAGCTACATTCAGAAGCATTTTTACAAAGCTCCTCCTCTTTGTTAGTGCATCAAGAACACCTTTTCTGTTTGTCTTAAGGACAGATTGCTGTTCCAAGTTCAGATCTTTAAGCAAAGTGAATCCACTCCCCCCAGTGAAGCTCAATGTGATTTTCCCACTGGCGAGTGATGCACACGCTGCCAGGACACGAGGTGTTTCAGAGCACGTGCAGTGGCTGTTTGAGCCACTTTCACCTTCATAAAGCTACAAGTTTTGAGAATCACTCCAGGTCCCCATCTATTGATTCCCTCCAGCACCACCACACAGAAAGCAGGAAGGCAGCAGTGCTCAGAGCACCATGGCCTGCTATTAGGACACCTCAAACAGCAGCTAATAAGCATGCAAGCTTTGCCTAATGCTTCCATTGGCTCCAGTTCAGATATAAAGTTGTTTTCTTTCCCCTTCTTATCGTCCAAGTCTACAACAATGTCCATTACATAACTTTAATAAGTATAAAGTGATGAAGTGACAACAAAAAGTATCTCGGGAGAGGCTGACAAATTTATCAGCTGCACAGGATGATAGGAAAACTTTTTTTTATTGCTGCTGTCACTTGGTGAGACATCCTGTCTGTGCTCTGAGCTGCATGCACTTGCAGAAGATCTGCTGATAAGCACATACTTTCTGTTTACCCAGTGAACTTGATCTCACATGTTGACTTTTACATTCCTGATTTATCCTGACATAAGACTGAGAAATTCAATAACAATGGTGAAGCAGCATTAGCTCCAGTAGCAGCCATCACGCTATGAAAAACAAGGCACTGTTTTCTTTTGCCTCAACAGCCACTGAAAGATTGCAACAGAAATCTCTCTTCCTCAAAACACCTCAAAATCTTGTGGTGCAATTATAGTGTTGAAGTCTTAATGCCACTATCACTCCATATCCTGATGGTCTGATGAGTTTGATGACAACCAAATTTTTTCAGCATTTATGAAAATAAGAGAAATGTTTGCCACGTAATTTTAAAATCTGACATTCAGAAGCTTGTATCCAGTATTTTTCATCCATTTATGCTTTCAAATTAAGGGTTGGCCCAACTGAAGCCACAAGGTACCGAGCAGTCTCATTCACAGACATTCAAACACTTGTCTAGATCTACCTCCCAGTCCTTAAGTTTTTATATCTATTTATTAAATGGGAAAAAAAAATAAATCAATAAATCAAGTCTAGGAAAAATGCCATGGAACAGAGGCAGAGCTACGCGGCAGCACCAAGACTGGCACTCCTGATCTTGTCAGTGACCTGGGCCAGGTTCCTTCCTGCTGGGCCTGCTGAACACTGCATTCTGAATTCCAAAGAGCAAATTGTAGCTGCTGTCACACGAAAAACATGTAGGTGGGAAGATGAGATGGTATGGGCAGTCAGAAAGGAAAACCAAACCAAGTCCTATAGTGATACTCTCCTCACATGCATGCTCTCAATAAGTGAAGCCCTGGTCTTCTCTTACCTTCCCTCTGCCCTAGTCTGGGCCCCTCCAATACACCAGTGCTGTATCCTCTCATGTCATTTTTACTGTTCAGTCTAAAATACGGTAATTTCTATCCTCTTTTGCTTCATATCAAGCCTGAAAAGAAGCTGCCAATATTTTCTGTGCCTCCTGCTGTTCCAGTGGCATCTTACCTCCATCCCTATCTTGGGTTGTTGCACTTTTTTTTCCATTTTTATTTTTTTGCACTAAATTCATGTTCCCTCCATTATCTTTCAATAAACTGCACAGCACCATATCCTACATGAAGAGATCATTTTTTTTTTTTACAACTCATTTTGCATCTTTTTTTCCCACTTTAGTCCATAACCCATCATTTCTTTTTGCCAAGTTAACTCAGAACAGCAATAAAAGCAAGTGAATTGCACCTACAAATGAACACAAGAAAACTCTTGATTCATTTGTATCTCAGCCCAAATGAGGACCTCTGAACAAAGCTAAGAAATATTTACATAAATAATTCAATTTATCTGCAATTCATTAGGAACATGAACAAATTCATTTTAAAGTTGGTTAATTTTGATACTCAAATATTTTCTTGTTATAGGACACTATAAATCTGTTCACCACATAAGAACATGATGGAGCCAGAAGAAATTAGGAAAATAAAATTAGGAAAACAAGTGTCAGTTTTCCATACTGAAGGACTGCACATACAAACTGTGCACATAAAGCAAGTCTCAGAGAATGCTCTCCTTGCAAAAAGAGTGGACTGCTGGGGATAGATTGTCTCAGCACATTGTATATACCTCTAAATTAGTCACTTCTCAGCATGTATAGTAGTTTTCCACTTTAAACTTTCAACACAGAGTCCAAAAAAGAGATTAACATTGAACCCTGAAGGACTTTCAGATTTCTCATAATGCACAATCCTGACATACTAAACAACAGCAACAAAAACCTATCTGTATGAATGAGAAGTTCAGCATACTGACAGTAACACATTAAATCAGAAGTTATGGGCTTGATGCACAAATTACTGATAGTAACTCTATAACTATGTTATTCAGGAGGCAAGACCAGATTATGATAACAGCCATTTTGGCCTTAGAATTTATGAAGCTATGAATATAAATAAGAAAATGATTTACAGACCGTATTTTTTTTTCCTGATGTTTGTCACACATGGATAGCAAGAGTGGAAACCAAATCCCCTAACAGAGAAAGAGCTCCAGAGACAGCCAGAACACTACATACAAAGACTTATCTCAATATTTTAACAAATTATACTGAAGTCACAACTCATGAAAACACATGATGAAAGCTATGTACGTAAAGCAAAAGATTTGATTCTGCTCTTACACATATTGGATATTATTCTACAAAAGCGTGCTGTAACACTCCAACCCAAAGGCAGATTAAAAAAACAAAACAATCCTAAACTGTGATTGTTACTATTGATTTAAGTTGCTTACAGCTTTGCTGGGCTCCTCATCAGACAGGCTTTTCATGACAACGTCCAAGCTTGGGTCTTCTTCACTGCTTGGGGTTTCAGTGCAGCCGTGATCCTGGTAGAAAGGAATGAAAGCAGTCTTTAAACAGAGCTACGAACCCCCATAACAGCTAAAGTAAAAAAAAAAAAATGTCCATGTTACCTTTCTTTTTGTTTTTCTAAACAAGTAGCAGCATGAAAAAGTAAAAAAAAAATAAAAAATAAAAAAAATCCACAATTAAAGCATTTTAATGTCCGGAGACAAATAAGTGATACAAGTTTTGAAAGACAGACCTCAGTCTGCACTCAGCCAGCCCCAAGCACAACGAGGTAGGCTGATAGCAGCACGCAGCAGCAGATCTGGGTCAACATTCAAGGCCAGGTCAAACTGGAAGCTTCCTCCCGACCTCTGGAGAGGGGACGAGTTCCCCACATGCTCAATGTGCTGAAGGAATCCCACTGCTCCTTCCTGCCTGCTGAGCAGGTTGGCAGCATCAGGACCGAGTGCTCTGCCCTGGAGGAATCGCCAAGGCCAAAGCTCTTCTACTCAGGGCACAAGGCCATGCTCAGCAGGCTTCAGCCTGGAGCACTGTCCTCCACCTGAAGAGCAAATGTCACACCTCAGGATTCAATTACTTCTCCACATCGCTGAGGGAATACTGATAAGAGCATTCAGAGACAGCTGATGGAGAATGAATGAATGAAATTAATGGGGAAAATACTGATGTTGTTAGGCCCAAGATGCGCTCCTGAAGCTCCTCCTGCACAGTCTCTGGCTTTCAAAAAATCATAGAATGGCTTGGGTTGGAAGGCACCTCAAAGATCATCAAGTACCGACCTCTGCCACAGGCAGGGCTGCCAGCCACTAAATCAACTACCAGAGTAGGTTGCCCAGGGCCCCATCCAACTTGGCCTTGAACACCTCCAGGGATGGAGCATCCACAACCTCTGGGCAACCTGTTCCAGCACCTCACCACTCTCTCAGTCAAAAACTTGCCCCTGGCATCCAATCTAAATCTCTTGTCCTTTAGTTTAAAACCATTCCCCCTTGTCCTATCACTATCTACCTGCATAAAAAGTTGTTTTTCCTCATGTTTATAAACTCCCTTTAAATACTGGAAGGCTACAAACATGCACTGCATCCAAGATAACAGGTTTCTCTCTTTCTAGAAGAAGCCTCCACCCTGTTCAGGACTGCAGCATAACATCTTGCACCACCAACTGAATGGGTAGTAGCTTTCTGAGGGGTGAAACATTTTGAAAACTGATATTTGAGAGCAACGAATGATGTACTTTGCTTTTGGGAGTATGCTCACAGCATTACACCACAATGTAGTCTTATCCCATCTTTCATGGAATGAAGTAAAATTTATTTTAAGACTTATTTACTATTTTGCATTTTCCGTATCAGAAAGCCTTAATGAATACAGAGAAAAGATGAAGAACAGTATATGGTACCGTTGGCTCCCTGATACATATAACATTAATTGTGCTATTTAAGATGATCTGATTAGGTTCACGTTCAGCATATGTACTACATGATAAATATTTACTTTGTATTTCAAGATACAAAAGCACAGTCAGGCTTTCTTAAGACACAAACAGCTGACAAAAGAAAGCATTGTCAAATTGTATGCAACAAGAGTGTCTTTGGGGTACATTTATTTCATTGAATAAAATATGCCAAACTGGAAGTAAAACACAACATTTACTTCTGAAAACAGAGGAAACGCATATAGTAAGAGCTTGCCAGAAATGCGTGAAGCACAGCCCACACATCCACCTTGAAAGGCAAACATTGCACATAAGACTGAGCTTTTTTGCTTCCACATGCTGGGAGAGTCTAATTACAGTCTTTTGGCCACAGAACAGCATGTGACTAAACAAAGCTTTGTGGTCCATCCCAAAGATACAAATATTGAACAAAGCTTGGAACAAACGCAGGTATTAAGGAGTCAACAAAAATGGAATGAACTCGGGCTCTGTTAAATGTAGAGTAATTTGCAATCCACCAGCTGCACCTGGAGCATTCTGCTTTGATGGGGAAAGAAAAGCCAAAGCACTGCCCCAAAATGACTCAGATCCAAACAAAACCTGAGCTGCTCTCTCCCAGTACAGCGCAGCTCTGTGTCTGTATGGAAGCAGCCACTGGTGCTAAAACAATCCAAAAAGCAATAGCAAGGATGGGACCAGGAAAAGCATCCAGTGCTGCCGAGCGTGGCCTGGTGCTGCAGGGTCACAGTAATGCCCACTGAAGTATCAGGAGTTTAGTGCACCTGAATTTGTCAACTCAAGGCAAGGCCAAACCCCAGTTGAATTATAAAGCATCTTTTGCTTTATTAGTGCAAATAGAAATAGAATTAAAAAGCAACGGTAAGGCTAAACATGTGCTTTATCTGTAAAATTTAGTTACACTGTATTGAGATGTCTAAATAATAGCAATGGGGTGACACTGCAGGGATTCATGATGCACAAGGGAGCAATCGATCTACACATCTACACTGGGGCCGAGACAGCAAGAACAGTAAAGAAAACCACTGCTAACATTACCATGCTGAGGCAGTTTCTACACTGGAAGATTGCATGCTACAACAGGGCATGGAAGCTCCCTGCTCAACCAGCCCTTGTCTGCTCCTACAGCAAAAAAATTGGTCAGGAAGGAGCGAGAGCAGTGCTGGGGCACAAAATAGAGCTGTGGACCAATGCTCCCCATTCTGCTGGGATTGGCTCAAGATGCTCTCGGAATGGAGCTATGTATGCAGTGAACTCTTTACCACTGCTTGTTGTTGCTTACCCCTGCTTCATTTTTAGTGCTGCATGCAGAATATTTGCAGGGAAACAGAACACAAAAAGCGTGAGATTTCCCGTGCAAAATATTTATATTCTGTAAGCGGATATCCATGCTCCAGGCCAAGGACCACTGCTCTAGCTGCAGAAAGGAGCAGGACAGGAGACGGCAAAGTTTTCATTCAGAGACATCTCCTCCTGCACAGCAATAACCTGATTAACAGACATCATTACTGCACACCGCTTCTTTCAGTAACGATGAGAACAATAAAAAAAGAGATGGGAAAACACACCTAGTAGGTCAAATTCCTACCCAATGCATTTTGTGATCCAGGGTATAATTAGACAAGGTGCTTGAATTTATAATGAACTGGTAATGATGATTAATCTATCTAATTAAGCAACCCCAGATTAAAACAATAACATCAATCCCCCAAATGAAAAACAGCAACAGAACAAGTCCCAACCCACAAACCTTACCTCAATAGAAGGGTGGGTGCTGGTAGGCAATGGGAAAGGAGTAACAGCCATCTGATTGACTGCATCTTCATTTCTGTACAACAAACAAGCAAACGACCAACTTATTACAAGGTAAACCACAATGGCCAAACGTTTCCTTTGAGTTGTTTTTGCTCATTAAGAAAACATTATTACTTGCATAAGAACTGCTTCTTATCAGAAGTTAAGAGTCTAGAAGAGCATTTCATTTTTTCTTGTGTTCTTTGCTAGCAAATAGATTAAATCCCTTCTTGGGACCGCAGAAGTTTCAGCTAGGAGATCCTGACACTGCAGTCTTTGGAAATCTAATTTAACGTGGATTATCAGAGGATGCAGCTGGAATTTATGGCCCCTACATATCAATAGGTGTGCTAATGCTCTGTTAGCCTCTTCTAATAATGTCTTTACTTGTTAACTACTTGTTTAGGCTGACCAACATTCACACTGCTGAAACATTAAACTTTCTGCCAAAATAGACTGCTTTCTCTTTTTTTTGTTCGTACTTGCTGTGGTCTTTTCTAAAAGACTCAATATAAAAAGTCAGACAAGTTTTTAGACAAAGGGAAGACAAAACCTGACTTCCCTTATGAAAGAGAGCGTTAATTTCCAAAGATGCTTATTACTTATTATTGCATCTTCTGCATTGTCAGGATGATATCTGATTACTCTAACTTACAAAATCCTTTCTTATTCAAGACCATTCTGCCTTGCTAATGTTCGACCAGCATGTGCTTAAAAATGCTGTATAGAAATGCCTGAAAAAAAAAGAAGTGTCATTTTATTTCTCAAGAGTTAAATTCACGAAGCTCGTACGTTGTGATTACTGCAAGTCAATGCTATAAATCAATAGCTCTCAGCAGAGCAGCATATGGGAAATTCAATCACAGGCATTTGACATGATAAATCCTACAGGCAAACGTTGGTGAATTAATTTACTTATCTTCAACCAACCAGCCACACAATTCAAAGGGATCCGCTCTGTGCTGCTCAGTTCTGTATGGGCTCCCAGCTCTCCTCCTGGCCCTGCTCAAAGGCCGCACTGTGAGCAGAACCAGGCACTGGGTGCACACACACGTGCACAGGGCCATGCAGAAAGCTGAGCAACACACAGAATGAAGCCCTCGAATTTCATAAGCGTTTCAGAGTCTCCAAGTTCACTTTACTCTGTAAAGCACGTGAGGCAAGGACATTTTTTCTTTCTCTTATGTTTCGGTGATATCAATCTAATGATATCGCTGTTCTAAGCCATCAGAATAAAGCAGCAAATGTGAGGTCTGTGAGACCAAGCGATTATTGAACTGTACAAAATTTTCTGGCAACACTTTATTTGGAGCACAAACTGGGAAAACCAACACGTCCCTAGCAGACAGCATGGGCTACACAACTTGCAGTAAGCAGCAAACTCAGAAATACCAAAGTACTATAAACCTGCGTGAGAAGTATCATTCTAAGAATTATTCGACATAAGCTTCACGATCTGCATGACAAAGGAGAATATAATACAAAAGAGTTTCTATTCTGTACATGCACACAACATTTTTTGGTATTTTTCTTCTCCCCCTCATTGCTGGGATAACATTTTTTTGCAGCTTTAAGTGGATGGCCAGTTTTATTCCAAGCAATAACAAAACCCCTTGCAGTCATCGTTCCTCTGGAGGTAAAAAAAAAAAGAAGCAAAAATTAAAAAAACAAAAACAAAAAAAACGAGGTTACAAAATGTCTCAACTTGTAATCTCCCCCTGCTAGTGCTCCTTCATATTTAAATACTTTAATGCTGCTTCAAAGGAGAATGCTTCAAAGCTGAATCAAAGAGCGAATGTATTTTAAAGCGACAGAGCTAATAATAAATTGCTCTTTCTGCTCTCCACTTCCTTAAGTGTCCTCAACTAAAACATGAATTTATTTACAACTGAAAGCAGCGATCGTTCCCTTTTGATGCTGCAGCAGACAGCTCAGACGTCTGAACGTCACATTCAAATTACAGTAACTGCAAAAAGAACATTTGATATATTTGCCAAGAGCTGCTGCTCAGGCACTCCCCTCTGTTATCCGCAGAAACAATAAACATCCCCTGCTCTCGTCCAGCCCTTTCCCTGGTTTGTACAAAGCACCAGGCAGCAGCCCTCCCCTGCAGCTGTTTGTATTTCACTGACTCTGCATAAAGCAAATGGGGACAGAATTCAGCACCCCTTCCACAGATGCTTCCATTGCTTGTAACCTCTGAGGATGAGCCTCTGAGTGACAACAGGGAGACCTGGCTGGAGGTTGAGTGCCAACACCATAAACACAGGAATGCATGGCTTTTCACATTGCAAAAGCGACCTTTTGGCAGCAAGACCAAAGCAGGGCATGAGTAGCAAAGGCCCTGTAAAGGTTACAGAGCTCCTACACTTGCAGATTTACTTGCTGAACTGCCTTATCTCACTGCATTTCTTTTCCTTCCAAGTGTAAGTGGAACCCCTGAGCGTTCCCTGTCCATCCTCACTGTCCAAGAAGAACTCAAGTTTTGCTCCATCTGACTGCACCTCTGCTGAAAGTTTTCCTTCTAAAGACAATAACCTGCAGCCAGAGCCTCAGCCAAATTCAGGTTAATTTGCTCAGAGGATGAACATACTTGTAATTGTTGCATTCAGGTTCCCCCCCTTCATTTGAGAACATTTTCTTTCTTCTACTGGAATGACTCGTTTTTATCTTGGTTTATGATGGTGTAGCTCACTGCCATGGGGTGCTAAAATACTTGTTAAGCACACTGAATGGCATTCATCTCCTGTCTGAAGCTGAGCATCTCATTCAAGATATCATCCACACTTCCTCTATAGTCAGTGTTAAACAAAACCAACCCCAAGCCAGATGCACTCCAAAGGGCAATCCAGCTGAGCAGGTTGGGAAGAACTGAACTCTTCTTTGATGGTTCTCACAGCTGCTGGCTAACAGAAGTCCAGGTGACTCCCTGACGTCCAAACAAAGGGAGATCTCCTCCTCCTCAACTAACTTCAGCTCCATAGTTTGTCAGCTCCTAAAAAGATCATCTCACAAAAGCTTGAAGGTGGTTGTGAATGCTCTTCACAAGTACAAAGAATGCCTAGAACTGGGAAAAACAAACAAACAAACAAAAAAACCCCACAAAAAAAACACAAAAAAACAAAAAAAAACAAAACCCAACCCAAAAAAACCAATAACTTCGCATTAAGAAATCTTAGAAGAGATCTGAAGAGGGAATGAAGTGAGGGGAATGATGCTTGTCCAGCAGCGTCAGGACTCTCTCTGGTTGTGACAGCTGTGTGCACACAGACATGTAAGTTAATGAAAACCTAGATCGCCCACATCTTACTTGTTCAAGAAAGAAAACAGAAATCAGTCTGGGGTCCCATGTTTTCTTGTCTTTGTTTTCCTTCAGGAATCTCTCCAGAGAAGAGTTGAAGACTGAAGACACACAGAATTCTCCCTTCAGCTGGGTTCAAGGCAAGACGTTTGCACTGTGCATCATCCTGGTTCAGTGACCAAGTGGCAGCGATGACTGTCATGTAGCCCTCACCTCAGCCATCCAAGGCCAGGCTGGATGGGACTCTGGGTGGTCTGGTCGAGTGGGAGATGTCCCTGCCGACAGCAGGGAGGTTGGAACTGGATGACCTTGAAGGTCCCTGTCAACCCAAACCTTTCTTTTTTGTGATCCTCAGGGCAGAGATCTTTCCTTTGCACATCACCATAAATAACAAGGGATTTGCTTTCAAAGCTATACCTAGAAGTGGAAGGAGGGGGAAATTGACAGATTGATGGAGAAACTTCCCTGAGAAACTCCAACCCCATCATCAGAAAGCAATGACCAGGGGACAAATCCCTGCAGTGCGGGGGAACAACTCAGGACGGTTAACAGATTGTATTTAAGTAGGCAAAATTCTACAGCACTTTACTCCGAAAGCATTTTTCATCACAGCATAAGACAGTTTTCTTTTAAGGAAAAAAGGTATACGCACAGTCACAGAATTGAACACAATGGGATAATGGTCTGAAATCAGTGGCGTTCTCTTTGATTCAAGCATTCAAACTATATTTGATCTGCTTATTATACCAGCACTGAAGCACCAGCACAGATTAAAGGCAGTTAATTGAGCATGGACAAAACACCGAGTTTGCTGAATCATAGAATTCTCACTGCAGAAGAACTTTCTGATATAAACTGGTTCTCCTACTCCAAATGCAAAATCTAATGGTTTTATTTTACATCTTAAATGGATGAACGTTTACTGTGTGAACCAAAAATTCAAATGACACAAAACCCATTCTATTTTGGGAAGTAGGGCATAGAGACTCCTACAAAAAGCAAGTCTCTGTGAGATGACTGCAGCCTGCATTCACCACAGGAGCTGGAAGGTAATATAGAGCCTGTACAACTGTGGTCAGAAATGCTAGTGGACACTGGGTCAGAGCAAACACCTGAACAGAGCTGTTTCATCACATGAAGACCATGCAGTGCTTGGGCAACTGGTTTGGCTGTCAGACTGGGTGAGCAGGTTAAACATCTTGAATTTGTTCCTGTAGAAGGCTATGAAACATGAGATGCACTGAATCTTAAAAAGAGGGAAAAAGTGACTAACTGCAGATCCTTCAGATGCTATTACAAACTTAATGTAATTAATGAGACCTCTGGGAACCGGTGCTGTGTTAAGACCTATATTTTGGAATCTGGCCAAAATCAACTCTTTTAAATAGTCATTGTCAGTTTAATTGAGGAAAGGATGCTCATAAAGTAGAGTGAGAAACCCTGACATACAAAGGGACGGCTGTGATTCTCACAACACTTCTGCACTGTCTCATCAGCAAAAATTTCAGGAAAGAGTGGGAATTGTAACAATTGTACAATTGTAACACCACCTGGGTATAAAAACAAATGTGTGAAGACTTTTGCAGTGCAGACTGCAACTGGGTTTTTAGTAGAAAGTCAAAAAGATTGAGGACACCTATTTTCCATGCCTGTCATCATCCCCTCCCTCCCCACATCTCCAATACAATCTATTCAATGACACCTATTACATTTCCCATAGAAAGTTTTTTTTTTTTTTTACGCCCAGGATTTTCTGGGCTTCTTTTGTAACTGATTAAGAACTTGGTGAAAACATCCCGCTGCCCTGCAAGTGAACCAAAACATCAGGAATAGGAAACTCCTGACACAGTTTCCTGCTTCAAAGCAAAGCAGCAGCTTGCTTATCACAGAACATCCTTCATTTGAAGAAAGTAAGGCCCCAGGATAGGAGAGAAAACACTTCTTAGTAATAGATAGTCCAGGAGTCCCACCAGTTTTGCTTTCATGCCCTAGATCAGCTCACTCAAGCACGCAGGAACTTTTTAGCCTGCAAAATAATGAGTTTATGGAAAACTGATCTACTCAGGCCTTATGTTGTTGAAATCAGAATATGAATATCTTCATGAAGACCAGACCCAAGTCCCTGTTAATTCCTGTAGCACACATCACTCTGCTATGTGAGCTGCAGCCTCTTCTCACTGTGTGTTCCAGAGTGCAATTTAGCTCCTCAACATTACAGGCCTTCTACCTTTACAAGGAAGCGGAATCAGTTAACAGCACTCAAGAGGAAGAAAGTAGTACTTTTGCTGCAAGGGCTCCTCCTTACAACAAACGTAACGGTATCCTGCTCTTTCCACACCATTAAAGCTGAGGGGAACACATCTGAATCCAGCCAAGCAGCAAAGTGACCAGGAACGCTCTCAGCTGGCTGCACTCAGTGCTCTGCTCCCATCTGGAAAGCTGCAGCACACATAGATGGGAGAGATGGATGGAGACCCACGATGCCTGCAGCTCCTCACGTTTAGTAAAGCTGGCACCATAGTGCATTAAGCAGTGGTATTTCAGTACCTCCATTTTAGATTATAGTTTTAAAATGGTTTGATGAAGCAAGAAAAAACCTCTACCAAACTGCACTTTGGGCAAGACTTCTACAATTGGCACAGCCTTGTGTTTATGCATTCGATCACACCCGCTCACTCTGAGGTCTAAAGTGTAGGAATTGGATGCATCAAGGCTCATGGAATATATTCACAAGAAAAACATTCTCTCCTTAAATTTCAGTTTTAAGAGAGACAAGTTAGCTCTGGTGAAACTTTGATATCCCCCTCTTACTAAAAGCACCGTTTTTCCCTGCATTCTAGACAGTGCTCTAGTTACCAACAACGTTCTCTCACAGGGAGAATTTCCTTTCACTGCTGTTTGAATGGCTGCTGGGGTCAAGTGAGCAGACTTGTCAGTTGTCAGTGTGCTCCAGTGCAAGGCAGAGAGCAGGGACAAGATGCACGCTCTTTGTAAGTGTAAAGACAAGCTTATAACCTCAACAGCAGCATGTATGACAAGTTTTTTTAAGCCCTAGGGAGAGCGACAAGAATTATCCAATGGTATTTCCAGTATCTATTAATTATGCCTGTCACAACAATTTTATGCCTTGCAATTCACTTCTATATACAGAACTTGGAAAGGGGGAAATATGGATAGAACTAACATTGTTTTCACTTCTTCCCATATCCATGGGAGACCTGAGCTAATGAGCACAGCCCACTGCAGCCCTGCAGAGCCTGACCCTCAAGCAGGCAGCTGCTGCTCAGGGCAGCAGGGCAGACTCACCAGAAGCCCACACTCCCAGTGCTGCCTGACAGCACTAAATTGAGCCCCGGGTTTTGGTTTCATACGTTTTGCTTCTGCCTCTGGAGGTTCCATACCAGACACATTTTCCATATGCAATTAAGTAATGGTGAGTGAGTTGTTGTACATGACATTTAATTTTCAATAGCTGGGGAAAGTAACACGGGAGCTGCAGGCAAGACCATTAATCTCCTCTAGATCCTCTGTGCTGCCAAGTATAGCAACTCATTCTTCACCAAGCTAATGCTGCTCTTCCATCATTTCTGTGTATGCTGTACCAGACAGAGCCATGTGAGTAAATGTACACATTTATATGCATTCATCCACAGATTATTACATTGTTCACAGGTAAGCTGAGTACGAGCAAAGAATATAAAACAATATCGACTATGATGTATAGACTGGTGAGAAGACCACGTTAATAAAATGGAATGGTTGAAATTGATAGTGGCAACAGAAGCCACCGCTGAAACAGTGGCATTCATGAAGGTCCAGTATATAAATGTTGGACCTTCAGCAGTCCTGAGATGAATAGCCATGGAAAACCTTTATTTCATTCCACAGAGAACTGAATAAGTTCAGCAATTTCAGAACAGGCTGAGTAGGTCAGTTATACGTGCAGCTATGTAACAGAATAGGCTGAAGTATGAACAAATGTTTTGATGAGAACTGTTCTTACCGTATGAAAACTAGCTTGACCTTTGATGGGGCAGTCTTAATTATTGCAGAAGCATTCTGATGACTTCTTCCATACAGTATCTGATTGTTTATCTGTTCAAAGGAAACAAAAGTTTCATGTAAATGGAGTTCTAAATAAGTATGCATTGTTTCAATTTACACCACCAAGGCACAGGACAAGGAAACAAGATGCTAAGAAAATGTGGGTCATGAAATACAAATCACAAACCTTCTGAGGCTTTTACAGACAGGAATATTGCAGAAGTACTGATACACAAACCTATCTGCACAGTGCTGGAGAGGCAGAAACACACAACAAAGGCTGTCACCATCAGCCAGCCACAGGAGGAGGATGAGCTGCAGTCTGCAGCTCAGAAGCAGCACTAGCACCTTCTCATCAGGTTTCTCATCGTTCCTTTTGAAAGGCAGGCACCAGTTAAGATTTAAAGCTCAACCTCCTCCTCCTGCTGGTTTCAGGATGGACCACAGAATTGCAGAACTGATTTTTAAGATATTACATTTTCAACATCATTGAGTCCAATATAATCAAAGAAAAAAACCCCACTGTATTAGCAGCAAAGCGTTCCACATTTTATTCTAGATCAATATAAGAGAGTAACCAGTGCAGAGCTAATTTAATGCTATTAGTGACGCACACCTCACCTGCAGGTAACCAGCAGTTCAGAAATTAGATGAGACAGAAAGGACAATTTCAGAATAGACCACGTTACTTTTGCTGTGAACAATCAAACACCTAACCACTGCAACAAACACCAGGTACTGCTTTGGATGTCATTTCTGAGTGTGAGCCAATCCTGTAGTTTTCATGGGGAAACAGCACGGCCCTCAACACCCCCAACGGCCTTCAACACACCCCTGTCTGCAGGAGAACAGAAGCCCTTTCCCAGTTTGAGGCAGATTAGGTGCCTGCTGTCTTCCATTGCCATGCTCGGCAAGTGGCACCTTGACAGTCACAACAGTAGCTCCAAGATGAACCAAAAGCAGACTCGGTATCCTATCTCAAAGACCACCTGTGGTGTAACATTTGAAGTGTTTCATAAACCTCCCAGCAGCTTGGTGCAGCCCCATGACCCAGCCCTGCTCCTGTCCCTGCATGCTGGCAGCCTGGAGATGCTGACCTGACGGCAATCTGCAGCCACAAAGGCTGTAAGCAGAGCAGGAGGCAGCCAGATGTGCCACACCAAATGTAAATGAAGGAAAGCTGTGCTGAGCACCAAGGAAAAAGAAGGCTGCATCGAGGAGACCGACAAAACCCTCAAGGAGCCTCTCAGTGGCATCCTGGTGGTTTTCAGGTTTCGAACTAAGCTGAACCAAACACGCAGGCAGGTGGGGAAGGAAGCATCCTTCCCCTACAGTGAGGATGAATGGGTCGATCTCCAATTCTGACAACTCAGACTGGAATAAGCACGAAGGTAACACTGCTCTGTGGAAGAACAATTTCTACCTGCCTGCTCCCAAACCGAAGGCAAAGCATTTCTTTAAACGAGCAGCTATTCTGTTCCAGGTGAAGAAGAAAACAGTATGAATATGGAAACTCATTCAAGGCCACATTTCTATTTTGTTTAAAAATAGACAAAAGATGACATTGAGATGAGTAGCATATATCATGTAACTGTCAAAAAACCCTCACTGGGAGCATCTTGATTGGATTAGGGCACCTCGGAGCTGCAGCAACCCCACACCCCCCAAAGCGAGCAGCCCGCTCCATGGAACCCTTCATCTTTTCCTCCCACTCTTCCTTTACAACATAATATTTACATTCACATTTGATACACCAATGCTGCTTAAAACAATACGGATAATGGACCTCAGGAACAATTTACCAGCGATTACAGCAGGGCTTCTCATTACTGGAAATGTTTGTGTTGGATTTAGGTTTTGTGTTCTTAGAAGAATTTTTCACCCAACAAAGAAACAACCCGCCAGCCTTACAGCCCTGTGTCAGCAGTTCAATGACCAATGTGAGCACAAGAATCATATCCCCAGTGCCTGATTATTCACATGGATTGACCTGCAAACAATAACCAGCCCACGTCTGGTTCAGAAGCTGGGGCACAAAGGATACCTGGGCTGAGCTTCACCTTCCTACATGTTTAGTGATGTCATTTGTCTGAGTCCTCCAAAGAAGTTACTTGCTGGGAATGCTGGATGCCTTACTAATTGTTTGTATTTAGTTACATTACCATCAATTTTTTGAAACAGCAGGCTTCTTCGATTAAAATTTATAGTCTTTACTCTGGCTAAATTAATGCTATTCAGTAGATACATCAAATAGTTCAAAATTTAATTAGCTCTGAGCTAGGTCTGTAAGTTATAATTATTTAATTATACCAAAATGAAAGGGTAATCAAAGTAATATATCTCCACAAGGTTTTGGACTGTTTCACACAGCTATTACAGACAGGATTTGTTATATTTTTATTTCTTTGTAAAAAGGTCACTTTCTTTTGCAAAGTGAATCAGTGATACTCCAGGTTCAGATAGCACAGAGAAGAGCAAAGCACAAAAGTTACAAAAGTAACACAAAAAGGGAATATCCAGGATTTCAGCAGCAGCGCCATTTTAATCTTTCAAATTAAATAAAGGACCAACCAAAGAGTGCTTCAGGAGTCAAATGCTGTCCGTCTGAGCTTCACTTCTCTCTTTAAGGTTAGAAAAGAATAACAAAGGTTTGACCAAACAAAAGAGAAAGCTGGGGGGAGACCTCATTGTGTCCTTCCAGTGTTTAAAGGGAGTGTATAAACATGAGGAAAAACAACTTTTTATGCAGGTGGATAGTGATAGGACAAGGGGGAATGGTTTTAAACTAGAGGACAGAAGATTTAGATTGGATGCTAGGGGCAAGTTTTTGACTGAGAGAGTGGTGAGGTGCTGGAACAGCTGCCCAAAGAGGCTGTGGATGCTCCATCCCTGGAGGTGTTCAGGACAAGGTTGGATGGGGCCCTGGACAACCAGGTCTAATATCAGATATGGAGACTGGCAGCCCTGCCTGTGGCAGGGAGTTGGAACTTGGTGACACTTGGGCTCCCTTCCAACCCGAGCCATTCGATGATTCTATGAAAGAAGGTTGGACTTGATGATCTTTATGGGTCCCTTTCAACTTGGGCTATGATTCTATGAAAAGGAACAAACAGATCTAAGCCTCAACTCCTCGTTAAGTGCCTCTTTACATAACTTCATGGAAAGACAGGAGAGCAGAAAGAAATCCATGAGTGCACTACAGGTACAAGGTCAGATCAAGATGGAATTAAGTTCCATCCCTGATAAGCCCAGCATGGGCCTACAGCAGGCTTTATCACATATCCCATGCACACAGCTTTTGTTTTACAGTTTCACACACAAACACCCAAATTAAGAGAGAAACATTAAAAAAAAAACACCAATTGTTTGCTTCTCAAATTTTAACTTGCAGAGAAGAAACATAAAATATGGGTATTTTAAAAAGAGCACTGTTTTTTTTTTTTTCCTTCTATGTGGCAGTAATGAAAACCAATAAAATGGGTATCATCAGATTTTTATGAAATTCAAACAATATCCCAAAGCTAGCCAAAGGAACTGGCGTAGCCTTCTGGAGTTATTATTCCTTTGTAACAACGCATTAGATTCCCTCTAACCACAGGAATTGAAACATTCTGAGATTTAATCAGATTCTCTGAAACAACAGGAATAATTTCAAAAACTTTCTTATCAAATACACCCAAACCCAAAGCAATAGGCAGAAGGAAAACAGGGGAAAGGAAAATTGCTGTTTGGAGTATGAATTCTTGTCTCTTTCCCACATTTCTCCTGCCTGGAAGGGGAAAACAAACCTGGGGATTTGCCCATGGAGCCACTGGCTCCACTACTTCATCCTTGAGCATCAGCAGTCACCTCGCAGCACTAACCTCCACTGACAGCCTAGATGCAAAGCTCTTGTGAAAAGCAGTGGCATCTGATACGAAAGGCCAAGAGGATGCTATTGTTCTGCTGTTACCTTCAGGAAACAAATCTGAGAACAGGAACAGGAGCTGAGAGTGTTGTCCTGTAAGTAGGAATTTAAAAGGTCACCACCAGAATTAATCATTCAGGGCTTTTCTTGTGGAAGAGCCCTTCTTCCCATGTTCAAGCTATTGCTGCTTTTGACGGATGGTGCTGCTTGGTCCAATCCAAAGTAATTATAAATCCCACAACAAATGAATAGAGTAAAACACCAGCCTGTCTCCATTCTGAGACAGAAGTGACACGAGTTTGGCTTGACAGCTCATTTGTTTGGGCAAAATACTGACATATCTGATGTGTTATTATAGCATCACTTCTATTTATCTAAGACTCTTATAACAAAATCCCAGGAGAAGCATCCAGCATGAAGGCCCTCTGGCTTTGAGGTACCACCAACACAGCACTGCCATGAATTGTCTCAAGCACAGCTGCCTGAAGGTGGCTCCTTCCAGGAGTGCTGCATCCTCCACTGCTTCCTTCCAGCGAGATAAGCAGGGCCAGGAGGGCGGCAGAGAATCCCAGCGTAAATAACTCAGCACAACAGGCTCCATGCAGCTTGCTCCATTAATAGAACACAGTTGACACTGAATGACAACAATGACAACAGTCCTACGGTGGGTTATTCAGTGTGAATAACACGAAGCAGAAGGGCAGAGCCTGCGGCACTCAGAGCAGCGGGGCTCAGCACCCCAAGACACCACGCAGCGTGGACACCTGCACGAGAGCTGTGGGCCAGGCAGGGGCACTGCAGATGGCATCTTTGATTGGAAAAACACCAACAGATCAGCACTACTTACATCATGTTAAAAATACATTGTTCTATGCAGCGTCCACATTCTGCCCTGACTACTTTTTCTCCATGGAGGGCATGAAGGATGATAGCACCGTCTCCCTCCAATGGCACAGCTATCCACTTAAGACTCATACTCAAACTTATGTGCAATCTGGGCTGCAGCAATAAATACACTTAAAAGATTCTGCTGGAAAAGAGTAGAGGGTTGTCTACCTGCTGACAAACAGATGACAGTTTGGGGAAAATGCCTTCAAATGCTACCAAGTGCTTGCCAAGCCCCAAAGCCTTCCATCAGAGGACAGCAGTCAGCCTGCAGGCAAAGCCATGCAGGGAAGCACCACTCCAAGGAATAGAATTCGGTTCTCCAACAACAGGCAAGGAACCGTAGGAGCACTTCTGCACCTGAATGCTGTACTCATAGTCTATCTCTAAGTCTTTAGCTGGAGAAACCCAAACAACCTGGATCTGCCCTCCTACCTTGTCAATGCTTCAGTTTACCATCAGTGCTCTTCTAACACTCTTTGTTGTTTTAACTGATGCTGCAAGTAAAGCCACAACCCCTGCATTGCTGGTAAAAAAGAAGCACAAAGCCACATTCCTACTTCAGCAATGGGTAGGCTTCTCAGGTATTCCTAATGGTGACTGAAATGGTCACTGAACCCAACAGTTATTAAAACAGACTCTGCCAGTGTAAACGCCCATTAGTTTCATTTCAGTGCTGCTCATATATAACACTGAAATGCTTTGAAAGGGCAAAAAAACAGAGCTGTGAACGATTGACCACCGGTGTGAACACGAGACGTCTGCACATGAGTAATGTGCAGCCCTTTCCTTTGTACTGCAGGATGTTTTGCCACGGGATACGTACCCACCGGGGACCAGAATGAGATCACCACATCCTTTCACACAACTAACCACACTTCTGCCCACCAGTGACACACCTCCCATTTGATGGCAAAGTTCACTGAGAGAGGCAGTTACTGAAACTTTGAACTTTGGTTTATTTGAAATGAGACTGCAAATGTCACTTTTTTCTTTTCCTACGGAAGAAAAACAACATTTTATCTCCATCTTGGCAGGGAGAGGAACTAGGGCAACGCAGTGTTTTTGGAAATGCTACTCATAACATGGCTCATGCGTGTAAATCCTGAGCCTCAAGGTACATGTGATTAATCACAGATGGTGCATCTTTCAACTACAGTAATATTTAACATGAGATCAAACACACGCCATGAGGAATAACTCATGAGATATAAGGAAACCTCTGTGGATCCTTCTTTGTAAGGAAGTGCAACAATACGAAAAACTCTTTCATGTCTCTCCTTAACTATCTCTTCTACGACATACATAGAGCAAAGCAGTACCTTCCAGTTGGTGTACAGTACCTTCCAATTGCTGTACACCCAGAATTCAACAATTTGACTTTTTCCAACTATTAGAATCAGGTGCCAGGAAAAGAAAACTAATTTGAAGGAGAAAGTCATTTACCTACACTATTTCAGCAAGGTACAGACCTTCATACCATTCATCACACTTGAAAACATAATAAACTTTAGATGGTGCTATTATTATAGCAAAACAAGCCTTTCGTGAATCATGTGTATTGAAAACCCATAATTATAGAACTGCTGGAAAATGACAAATGCTTAGAGATTTCTGATTGCTCCCGAGGTATCCCCAGGCATTCCAATTGCTTTTTCTCAAGTCAAGAAACATGAGGAAACGGTTGGATCTCAGATGCCACTATGAGTTGCTGAAAGATCAGAAATCACCACCCATGGATAGCAGTGGGCCACTGTACACCTGCTCTTCAGTGAAGGCTTCCTTCTAGAGGAAAAATCCCCAGAAATGGCTAATTTTTTAAGCTGCTGAAGCAATCATGACATGGGAAACCACTGCAGGTACTGCAGAAAAGCGCTGTTTTGCAACAGCCAAAAATCATGAGATACAGCAAATCCATCCAAAAAGGAGAAAGAAGGAAAAAAGGAGACAAAATATCCTACAAGCTGCTGAGCTCTCCTGCCTTGTGTCAGATGTGATTAAAGAAAATAAACATTCTAACTTACACCAGAATGAAACAGATTACAGCATGAGATTTTAGCTTATTTTCAGAATGGGGGGATATCCCTGTCATCTGTAAAAACACATATGGTAACTTTGAGGGTGTTCAGATTTTTGTTTTGTTTTATAAATGTAAGGTGTGAATTTTCTTGCAAAACCACACAGGCACTACAAGGACAGATTTACTATTCTCTGTCTGCCTTTCAACAGTCCCTCACCGTGTGTAGCTTGTGAACATGCTGAGAGCACAGACCTCACTGACAAGACATTAGCTTTCACAGGCCAATGATTTTTGTTTTGCCGAGAACACATTTACCTGCCAAAGGCCAAGTTCTCAGTTGGCATAAATCAGTGCAGTTCCTTCCCTCAGCCACCTAATTCCACTCGCAGGCTTTATTTCTTTATTTAAGGTTCAAATGATAGCCTCACATATGCCTCTCCCTCTCGCCATACGAACCTTATTTAGTAGTTAAAGGAAACACTCACCTCTAGAAGTTCATCACCAATATGCATCCTTCCATCCCGTCCTGCAGGTCCATCTGGATTGATACCAACTACAAAGATGCTCATACGAGACCGGTCCTTGTTGCCAGCAAGGCTCAACCCAAGCCCATTTTTGTCTTTCTCAAGCTCAATAATGTGCAGTTCTCCTGGTAGATCTGCATATCGTTGCCTGATCTTTTCTGCAAAGGTCAAGAAACATGAAGTTACAAGATGAAATAACTTGCATGTAGATTCTCAAGGGCACGCAGAAACATGCTAGAAATAGACAGCTTCTCAGTATTTATATTTTAAGAGGTCTTTCTAGCACAGAATCTGAAACGACATACGATGTACCTAACCCCTGTGTTCCCTCCACAGATCATGTCACCAAGAGAGATAACTGAGACCGCTCACAGTTGTGCATCTTTAGCCTGGGTGATTTTGGACTGTTGCAAACCACCCGGTTGTCTCGATATCACTAACACTGCCAAAGAAGAACACTGCCAAACAGAGAACTACACTGCTTTATTTATACAACAGGCTGGTCCTGAAACAAGAATGTTTTGAAAGGAGGGGAAATGAGGAAATTCTGATGTCACCCCAAATTCACCTTATAAAAACTATCAAATTCAGGCAACTTTCAAAGTTGGAGCTGATTAATTAATCAGTGCAGCTGAAAAGTCTACATTACAAATATATTGCAAAGTCACATCTAAAAATACAGCCTTTTGTTGTGCTTCTTTCTGGTGGTTCAGGAATATGCTCACAATGCTCTGCTTACCTTTATGTGCTGCTGCGCAGATGATTACTCAAAGCAGATGTCAGTGGCAATGCCCATGAATGATTATGTTTTTAGATGATACTAAGGCAGTTACTTGTCTTTCATCTACATTTCAACCATTTCTGTGACAGAATCTAATACACTCACAAAGTTATTTGGAGCACAATGTGTGCCTGTGGAACCGAGTATGCTGACAGTTCAGCTTGAATGTCTTCTGTTTTCAGCACTGGCAGACAAACGTTTGCATGCACAGCAAGGGTCATTTTTTTTCTCTGTTTGATCATCCTCTGCTGCTCTGAAAGCCAGCTCCCCAGCCCCACCTGCATCCCACCTTACGGCTGGGCCATGCTTTATAAATGCAGATCGCTGTGTTTTGCTGTGACTGAGGCTCACCTTCAGTATAAAGCCCAAGGTGAAAGAAACTGCTGCATTATGCATTAAGGAGTGCGAGAAGAGATATTACATGCCCAGCCATATCCCTGAGTCAGCAGCTGCAAGACCAATATTAGCTATTACCATTCCACTGCAGGGAAGCACGTTTCGATAGCACGATTTAAGCACGTTTCCATGACAACACGGAAGAGGGGAAGGAGGTGGGGAAGGTGAGAGGGAAGCATCCCAAAGTGAATAAAAGCCGGAAGAAAGAGGACAAAGTAGAGGTGAGCACTGCACAGCCCGCGTGCAGGCTGCTAAGTGACTGTACCATCCCAGCTCTGCTCTCAGCAGATTTCCAGCTGCAGTAGCCCTTCCAATTCAGCAGAGACAGAGGAATGCACTGCCACCTCCAGCCCATTTGCACCCCAGGGCATGCCCCATGCTCCGGGCAGCATGGCAAGAACCAACACTCCTGCTGCTGTATTTATGGGCATCTTCCTGCCTTGCTCAAAACGCTGGTGGCCTGAGCCTAAAAGCCTGGGAGGCATGTGCTAAGGGTTAGACATTATCCCTGGAGAGCTGAACTTGTAAAGTTCAAAGGTCTGCACAAAATCAGAATATCATAACAAATTAGAAACCTCGCTTGTTACTATCAATTATATGCCAAAAGTTCATAGAACTGCATTAGACAGTAACCTGTGCAGCTGCGTGGCTCTTTAATGTATTTCTGAACTAATGGGGTCAAAATGTAATTAGGGGAGTGATTTGCTACTCAAATTTTGAAAGTATTATTTTCCTGCTTGGAATGCAGGATGCTTCCTGCCAGAAAGCAGCAAGTGAGGAAGGTCTCAAAATGATGCTCGTGGAAGCGCAGCAGATGTGAGCAGAGCCACGCACGTCCTGCTCCCACCACCACAGTTTCACCTTCTGTTGCCATTAAACCAATCCCAGCCCTGATGGCCACGCAGCTGCTTCCTGCCTACCACGGCCGGAGAGCAACCCAGACAGGTTAGGTGTTTCCCAGTTGTAAGAAGAGGACAGCAGCAGAACTAAGTTTTCTTGGAGAATGCACTTCTTTGGACAAGAGGACCCCCCAGAGGGATGCTGCTGACATTGCCCTTGCTGCTTGTTCTCCATGGGCAGCACATCTCAATCCCATTTACTCAGAGCACAGCAAGCATCTACAAGTACACTGTCAGCAAGGCGTAATGCACCTGTAAGCTCTGCAGGGCTTCCTCTGCTGGGTGGCACAGAGTCTGTCTTCTCACTTGGAAAAAAAGCCAGTGGCTTATAAGTACATGTACATTCCTACTCCATCCTGGCATTAGACTCAAAATGAGTTTTAGTTCTCCAAAAGGTAGTAGGCAGGGCAATTACCTGCGGTGAGGCAGCCCCAGGGAAGGCCCTGATGTGGCTGCATGCAACCAGGCTGTGGCTGACAGGCTGGTGCCCAGCTCAGCACTCCAGCTGCCAGCAGTCCCCACTGCATCCTGCTGCCAGCCTGGCAGGAGGGCACGATGCCCAGCATCACAGGAGACACCGCAGGCGTGCACACAGTGATGTGCAGGGACAAGCAGGGTCACTCCACCTTTAAAGCCTCTCCCTGCACTGAGCACTCTGTCCCATCCTCCAGCAGCAGCAGGGTCTGCTCCCAGCACTGCCAATGTGTTGCTCATCCAGCCTACACACAGATTTCCTTTGAGTACCCAGCTGATTTCTATCATGCTGGAATCATATTCTCAGTTTGCCTCTTAATAAAAATCTCATAAGATTATTTTAAACAAGTATTTACTGCTTAAACAAACGTGCATCTAAGGCGTCTTCTTTCTAATGCCTTTTTCAGCTGCTCCCCCCTTCCAGCTGGTATTCCTTTCCAGCTCTCTGACTAGCACTGGGGAGCCAGTTAGCATCTGCTTTTGCAAAGAATCCCATTATCTGCCTTCATTACCAGATCCCTTACACAAGGCAATTGTAATTCTGTTGTTACTGCTGTACACATGGGACGTGGTGCTTTGTGCCGGCGCTGCGCCGAGCGATTTCCACGATCGGTGACAACACAACTATCACAACTTCGGCAAACACAGCACCCGTATTTAACCAGCCACGGTTGGATCCTGTAACTTTAGAAATACTGAGCAGACACGATGTGAACTAAAAGCACAGGCACACTGCAGTGATCGCTCCCACAATAACATTCCCCAGTTCCATTAGCAGACAATTACATTTCAAAAGAGAAATGGAACCCTGGAAATGGAAGACAACTGCTTTCAAACAATATACTGTTATGCTGCTGCATGTGTTTCCCTGATTCAGCCACTATTCCTACTATATAAAATGGAGAGATAAAAGAAATAAATGGGGAAGATATGGCCAGGATATTGGAGTTTGCATGATGTAGTACTGCAACAAACGCACATTTAATCTGTGTTGAAAAAAAACAGAACCAGCTTCCCAGGAAGGCAAGAGGCTCTTTGAATTGCAAAGACATATAAAGCATTGCAGAATGCTGGGGAGCCTGTTGCCCAAACCTGCCGAAATCTTCAGCTAAATGAGCTGAAAGGGAGAGGGAGTTCTTTTGAAAACGGTGTCTCTGCATGATGCAAATTAGAGTCCATCTAGAGAGGTAAAAAAGAGAAAAGAAACAGCTCTGGATGACTCAGCCAGATGACTGGTTTTAGTATCAAACACTCGATATTAAACCTGCCCAGGCAAAGCAGAGAGGAAAGAAACGGAGGGTGGGGGGATGCACCACAAAAAGAAACAACAGATGAGATCTGTATATAAAAGGTGATGCTGAGGATTTTCCATTCCTTTTGTGTTACCTCAGATAACTATTAGCGATGTATGCTGCCTTTTGGAGACTTTACCATGGTCTTATTTAACAGCCTGCATTCATTCTAATGGTTTCAGCTACCATTTTTATCACATAGCACATAACCTGGCCACAGTCTGAGACAGCAGTGCTGCAGCACCACGGCTGCTGGTTCTGCTTTAGTAAAGATAGGCATCAGAATGCAGCCAGCATCCTCCAGCAGAGCCAGCCCTGCATATCAAACAACTAATTCCCTTCTTCATTTCACTATAAACATTAAAAAAAAAAGAAGTAGGAAGTCCCTTGAAAGCTAACCCTCAAGCTGTGAGGGCAGCATGTCTAATTTACTGATTACAATTTACAAGAACCTAAATAAGCATATTTTAAGGGACCGTAATTGAACAAATGGGGTTTAGAATTCTCCCACTACTAATAATATAATAAGCTTATTGTTTTAATCTTCCCACTAGCCCTCTATTCAGCTCCAAGGAGGCAGACAGTTTTTCAAACCTTATCTCAAAAGTGATGCACTCATCTGTTTTCATAAGCTTTGAATTGACAGAGAGAAGATGATTTCTGTAACGCTTTCTTAAACTCCGTAAAATCACTCATACTCCTCTCTCAATGACCAACACGTGAGGGGAAAAATAGGGCAGATCTATTCAAAACTGGCACATCTAAATGGAAGAGCCAGACACCGTGCTTTGGTCAGTCCTCCATTGAGTGGTGAGAGGAGGATGATGTTTGCTGGAGCCAACAGCTTTGTGGGTGCAGTTCTCTGTAAGTGGGTGGCAGGGAGCAACCCTGGGCTGGACTGGGGCAGCCAAGGGGCTCCATTGGGATCCAGAAGTCCAGCGCCTCCTGCAGTCTCACCTTGAAACCCTTTGGGGTTGGACTCGATGATCTCTGGAGGTCTCTTCCAACCCCTACAATTCTGTGATTCTGTGAAACCCCCCCCCCCCCCCCCCCAGTGATGCTTTGCTTCATGTACACCATTTAGAAGTCATTCACCAATGACTCTCAGAGAAGAATAAAACCCAGCATTCCCATTATTCTCTGTCAAATACTTTAATTAATGCCCATATCTCAAGCCTGAGTCTGCCATACACACAGAGCTGCACGGCTGACCTCTCCCCTTCCTCTCCACAATACCATGCACCAAAACAGTACAGCACTGCTTTTGACGAGAGCACAAGCACAAGTTGCTGCCCAGCCTTCTCGAAAGGAGCAGT